GTCTGCCTTCGGCTCAGGTCATGATCCCAGGGTCCTGGGATCGAGTCCCGCATCGGGCTCCTGGCTCGGCGGGGAGCCTGCTTCTCTCTCTGACCCTCTCCCCTCTCATGCTGTTTCTCTCTCGCTCGCTCTCTAAAAAATAAATAAAATCTTTAAAAAAAAAACCAAAAAACAAAAAAACTACTATTTAAAATACCCCATTTTCTTCTTTCCTTTTTTTTAATTTAAATTTTAGTTAGTTAACATACAGCACAATATTGGTTACTGGAGGGGTGCCTGGGTGGCTCGATTGAGGGGTCCAACTCCTGCTTTCTGCTCAGGTCATGATCTCAGGGTTGGGAGATCCAGCCTGGTGTCAGGCTCCTCGTCAGGGTCTGGGCTTAGCAGAGTCGGCTTGAGATTCTCTCCTTCTCCCTCTGCCCCTCCCCCCACTCATGCACGCACTCTCTAAACAAATAAAATCTTTAAAAAAAATTGGTTTCTGGAGAAGTCAATGATTTGTCACTTACGTACAACACCCAGTGCTCCTCACAAGTGCCCTCCTTAATGCCCATCACCCATCTGGGCCACCCCCACCCACCTCCCTCCATCAACCTTCAGTTTGTTCTCTACCCTTAAGAGTCACTTAGGGTTTGTTTCCCTCTCTCCTTTTTTTCATTTCCCCCTTGGCATGTGTTCATCAGTGAGATCATATGGAAAATACCCCATTTTCTTTAATGAAGAATCTGCCTAGACTCACCTTTGCTAATGGGACTATTCCTTTTAATCTGGTTGCTGCGGCTTCATACTCAGGGGCAAGCCTCTTGCAGTGTCCACACCTATATAAATACATTAAAAAAAAAAAAAAAGCCAAATTCTCAGTTTAATCCTTCAAGATTGTTAACCATGTTTCTCTAGGACGAACCTCAAACTATAATACAACTTTTGAACTAGTAGCTGCTTCCAAAAGCAAAAACATCACCTGAACAACATCCATTACTGATAAAGTAACCAGAGCTCTCAAGGGCAAAGGTATTATCCCTAACCTGAGGCTGATGCTAAAACTAGCATAGTTCAGAGGAGCCACCATTTTCTCAGTTAAAAGTATAACTGAGCCTTGAAAACTATAGTCAGAATTATACCCCACATTAAAGAGGGAAAGGGCTCAAGCCTTCGGACTAATTAATGAGGACAAAATGAAGAGCAAGATAGCAGCAATCCCATTTCTGGTAGCACTTCCCAAAAGGCACATTTTTAAGAAACCACACTGTGATTCTTAAAAATACAGCGATTGAAACCTTCTAAGGTTCCAAGTATGACATTAAATCTTTAAAAATCACCAAGGGCGCCTGGGTGGCTCAGATGGTTAAGCGTCTGCCTTCGGCTCAGGTCATGATCCCAGGGTCCTGGGATCGAGTCCTGCATCGGGCTCCCTGCTCCTTGGGAGCCTGCTTCTCCCTCTGCCTCTCTCTCTCTGTCTCTCATGAATAAATAAAAATAAAAATAAAAAAAAAAATCACCAAGAACTTTTTCTCCATTCCTTCAATAGGAATCTCTTTGTCCAAAAACCCAGTTTGAGGGGGTAGAAGGAGGCCCAAAAGGCACTCATTTGCTAGATACTTTAGCAGCTGTTAGAGCCTTTTTTTCTTCTCAGCTGAGTTTCAACACAGCATTAGAATGACATATTTAAGACAGCAAGCCCTATTTTTACAGCTACATAGTTCATCTGGCTGTAAGAACTGATGAGGATAAAACATTGTCAGTTAGAGTATTTTCCGAGAGGGCCATCAGAAACATCTGCTCCTAGCCTGGGAAGTCCTGAGAGTCCCACAGGCACACTGTATATGCGATGCGGGGAGAGGGGAGATACTCCTCCTTATCCATGTGTATATAGCTAGCACCAGCTATACGTCATCTCTTCAAAACCCAATGGGTTGCAGAGGGACCACTTGGAGAAGGTAAAGTAGTCCTGTAACCTCCCCACAGATAGCAAAAATAGAATTAGAAAACAGAAAGAAACATGGAAGAAACTTGACCTTATATATTTCATAGCCAACAGTCTCAAAATTTATTTTATTAAGTGATGGACAAATAACTTGGAAACATTTTGCCCCTAAAACGTGTTTAAAACAAAGGACTACAAGAGCTTATATTCTTTAAGGTCTTTAGTAGGAGTTCTATTCAAAAAGAATCATTAGAAAGCTTAAATGAAGGAATGGTGATATAAAAAAGACTGTAATATTAGATGTTAGTTAGTGTCACATACATATTTACTAGAAGTATAAAAGGATCAAATGATAAACACCAAATTCAGGATGGGGGTGTACATAAGACGGGGAAGGGATGTATAGGCTTCAACTGTACTGCCTTTAATTTTTAGACCAGGTGGTGAATAAATGGTATTCCCTATACTGTATTTCACGGATGCGCATTTTACCATATCTGAAATTGGCATGTGCCCTGCAATCATGTCATAGTTTCAACGGTAGGATTTCCTTCTTTGTGAGACATAAAATAAGGATTCCCCTCCCAACCCGCGGCATCTTACATGTATATGGAATATGGTATTATTCATTACATCCTCTGTATTTCTTAGATTGCAAAATAAATTAAAAACTCGTGTACTTGGGTTGCAACAAAAACACACAAATCCTAACTGATTTAATAAGATAACCAATTTATCTGAGAAATTCAGGCTTTGGGGAACATAAGGGCTCAAAGATTAAAAAAAAAAAAGTTAAAGGGAGTAAGAATTGGATCTGGGCCTTTAAGAATTTAAGGCTTCAGCCAGGACCTGTCCTGGGGTATTTTAGATAAGGGGAATAGTAGAGCAAAGGTAAAATTACTAGTGAAAATGATACATTCGGAGAACTGTGGAGGGCTTTGTTTATTGTTATTAAGAGATAATAAACATTTTATGTGTATTGAGACTACTCCGGTCAGCAATATATATAACAGGAAGGGGGAAATGAGAGAGAAAAATAGAAGCCACCTAGAAGATAATATATTTCACATGGCAGATAATGAAAGCTTGGACCAGAGTGACAGCAATGAGAATAAAAAAGAAACAAGACAGATTTCTGTTGAATACCTAATTATCAAGAAGGCTGAGGCAACAGACTTAAGAAGTTTCACCTCAACCATCTCAAAATATTTGAAGTGAAAAAAATAGTATAAAATAATTAGACCAGACCAGTCGGTATCAACCCAGATACATACAAAAAATACCCATGGAGGGAACCAAGGGTGTAAGGGAGATATATGTATAACTATCAAGGCTGGGACTGAAAACCACTGCCTTTTTTTTTTAAAGATTTATTTATTTGACAGAGAGAGACACAGGGAGAGAGGGAACACAAGCAGGGGGAGTGGGAGAGGGAGAAGCAGGCTTCCTGCTGAGCAGGGAGCCCGATGCGGGGCCTGATCCCAGGACCCTGGGATCATGACCTGAGCTGAAGGCAGATGCTCAACGACTGAGCCACCCAGGCGCCCCTGAAAACCACTGCCTTAACCATTTGCTGCATCCATAAAGTCATCAAATGCCCAAAGGAAGGACCTTTTCAACGAGTTCCAGAGAGACTAGAAGAGACTGCCTTCTTCAGATTCACCAGGAATGGAACTCAGGTGGAATTTGAAGAGGAACATCAAGATTAACCACTACTTCTTTCACCCAGTCCTAGATAGTATTAAAAGAACAATTCCATCACTTTCAGGGATGGCACCTAGCAGTAATAGTGAATCCCAACATACATTCAATCAACAATCATTACTTTGTGACGAAAGTCTCTGACAGAAAAACTGATGTAGTCCTTTCCCTATAGGAACACCAGTCTGGCAGGGGTGACAGACAATATTAGGTCCCAACTGAGAGGCGGGAGCAACCAGTTAGTTGTCCAAGGAGATAAATCTTGTTGAAAAGATCAATTTGGGGTGGGAGGATACATCAGAAATTCCAAGTAAAGGAATTAGCATGTATAAAAGAAATATTTCATTTTACACTATCCACATATTTTTTTCTTTTTTTTTTAAGATTTTATTTATTTATTCGACAGAGACACAGCAAGAGAGGGAACACAAGCAGGGGAAGTGCGAGAGGGAGACGCAGGCTTCCCGCAGAGCAGGGAGCCTGATGTGGGGCTCAATCCCAGGAGCCTGGGATCATGACCCCAGCCGAAGGCTGACACCTAACGACTGAGCCACCCAGGCGCCCCCACACATCTTTTTTCTATATGTACTCCAGAAACACTGTATATCAAGAATCATTTAATACTACTGTCCTAGAGGGTAGAGCACAAATCTACAACATAAGTAGATGTTGAGGATTTAAAACTTACTTAACGTTGATCAATAAATTTTCAGATACTATCACATTTAAACAGTGTTATTTATTTCCCCAGAGAAATTCATATACTCCCATTCTTACAAATTACACAGATAAAACTTCATAATGGAAATATGAGTCTACAAAGTCAAATGCAAAGAAATTTTTCACTTTCACTATAAAACGAAAGTGCAAAAAATACCCAAAAACAAATGAGATGAAGAACTTGCTCAAAATAGGTCAATTTACTTTCAGTTGGATTAACTGTTCCTATCTAGCTTGTGAGCCAGTTCTGATCTGTACAAAGGATTACAGCAGTCAGAAAACATTTCTAGCTGAAGTATTAATAAATAAAAATAGTTGAATGTGAAGAAATAAGGACATTATCAACAGGAGACTTCCTTGATTCCAAATTAGTCACTCAGAAAACTGATCCTGCTTGCCGGCATTGTGGAGGATTACCTTACCTTCTAGACCAATTAAAAGCAGACACCACAGCAGGGATCCACCCAATTTGGGGGATAGTTTAGTGCATGACGGGATATGCAGTTTTTAGGGAAGCACATGCAACAATTTAAGGTAGACCCCTGCAGTCACAGAAGCACCACCCAGTTTTGATACAACCCCATCCGGCCACTCTACAGTTACACCCCTTCAAAGTTAACAGCAAGGTTATATGATTGGGAAGAGTAGTTTCTAAGATGGAATGTGACTTCTGCAGATGTATAACGAAAGACCACCTGTGATGTGTAATCAGTACTACCAGTTGGCCACAGGAATGCCTGCACATAAAATCTGTCACAAGATGAAAACAAGATTTGTTGCCTCTAACACATCTTTCTGGTTCAGGTGGTCTTCATTACCAGACTTCTTCTAGTATTACCCCCAGCACGGTGGCTGAACCCTTGCTGAGTAAAGACCAGAGTTAGAAGCAAGTAAAAGTTATACACCAACTTTGTTTTACTGATACTTTTGAATACAAATCATTTTTAATTAAAGGTATTGTGGCAGGAGGAAAAAAATTAAGTACTGTAATCAGCATGAATATATTGAACCATCCCAAGCCTGAAAATAATCATGGCTCTCTGCGGTAAGGATTTGGGAGTTTAAAAAAAACAAAAAACAAAAAACATTCAGGTCTACTCAGTCAGAAATCCTATTTGCTCTCTCCCCCATACCCCCAACTTTTTGAGTTAGTTGTATCCTAAGGAATTCACACCCTTGTTCAGTTATATCACCCTGAAGTGGACTATTTCTCCCCACACTGATTACTTTCTCACTGGAGTCTTTTTGGGCATTCTTCCTAATTAAAACCGACACTTTAGACAGATTTCTGACGGTATTTCTCCTTTCACCTGCTCTTTTTGACGGGATTCTGCCGGTGCTGAAATGGGATCAGCTTAATAGAGAAAGTGTGCACCATGCGATGGAATAAAATAATTGCCGGCCTCAAGAAAGCATTTATGACCATTCTGCAGCCACTGAGTGACCTTGGCTAGAAACCAATGGCTGCGGAGCGTGGGGCAAGAAGAAAGGAAGTACTCTGGGGGTCCAGGGCCTCTCCTCTCTGCACCTGGTGAAATGTTCGTTTCCGATATAAAGCCTTGGGATGCCTCGTTTGTAGGATGGACAGCATTAACACTGACTCAGCCAGAAACTGTAAAGATACCGTTTGTCGGATGGAGAGCATTAACACTGACTCAGCCAGTAAAGATACCAATCTAAGCGGGGTAGGGGGTGGTTAAACCCTCTGCAAATAGGAAGTGCCGCAAGAGCAACGAGGTAAGGATGTGCCCCTACGTGAGCGGGGCCTGCGGGTTTTCTTCCCGGGTCTCGCTCCCAGGCAATCAGCACCGACTTCTCCGCTCTTGCCGAGGCAGCTCGGCTCACCGGGGGTGGGAAATTGGCCGGCTGCAGCCGGGCCTGCTGGTGTGGTGGAGGGCGCCAGCGCTGCGTAGGCCCAACCGTTCCCGCGCCTTCGCCCCCGGCCCAGCCGTCCCTCCCCCCCTCCCTCCCGCGCCCCGGCTTAATGGCCTCACCAAGGGGCGAAGAACTCGACGAGCATGAGGCCCGCAGAGCCTGTATCGGAGATGCGACTCTCGAAGTTGTCGTCAGTGAGTTCCAGCACGTCGGAGGCAGAGGCGAGACCGGCCGCGGCGAAAAGCAGCGCCACGCCGGGGAACAGCGCTCGGCAGCGGGGGCGCATGGCTACGAGGTGAGGCTAGGGGCGGCCGGGAGGGTCGGGGGCTCGGCGGGGATGCGGAGGCCGGCCACAACCACCCACCCTGTGCCTGCGCTCGCGCGTCTGGCCCAGGCGGACCTGCAGCCGGAGGTCCCAACCCCCCAGCCCGGCTCGGGCCGCAGTGTGGCAGCCGCCGATTGGCTGCGAGGCGCCTGCGTCGGGCGGGCGGGACCAGCTGGTAACCGCCGAGTGGCCGGAGAGCAGGGCGGGGCCGAGGCGGCGGGCGCCGGGGAGAGCCCGGCTGGGAGGGGTCCTGGACCGGGGGCTGGGGCTGGGCCCGCCGGCGAGCCGGAAGCCAGGGAACAAGTGTGGTGGAGTGGGGCGGGGCCGAGCTAGAAATGGGGGGCCGCGGAGCTGGGAGCCGACCCTGAGCTCATCTTTCGTAGGGAGAGCTGAGTTCTGGGGGCGCCAGAGCCGGAGGCGGAGACGTGAAGTCAGGGCTGAGTGGGCGGAAGAGAGCCTCGGCTGAGGTGAGGCCCAGAAGCGGGAATTGAGAGGTGGAGCCTGCACCCGAGGGACAGAGTTGGGACGGGACACGTTTTCCAAATGTCAGGCTGCTGCAATTAGTCCAATTCCTCCTGGTTTGTCTTTCGGAGGCAGCCCTAAGTCCTCCCACTGCCCCTCCTCATTGCACTGCCCAGTTATCTCAGGTCCAGGTGCTGCTCCGATTTCCTCTTTGTCCAGCCGCGGGACTCCTGCCCTGTGCCTGCTACTTTGAATTAGAAACGCTGTCACACAAGTGAAGGTGCCTGGCCACTTAGTCTACTGCGCAGTGTCTCTTACGACTCTTAGCTCCTTTTGTTTCAAAAAACTTTGAGTCTTGGTACAATGTGTTTGACTTCTTTAAGGGCAAAGAGGGTGGGAGAAGGGGAAATAAACCTCTAATCTTTGGTGCCTCTCCAAGAATGAAATGATAACTTGGTTTTTCCATTATTTTAACAGACATGGCCACCAATCACCCAAGAGGACACGTGCAACTGCCCCGAGCTGATGCCATTCGTTCACGTCTCATTGATACTTTCTCTCTCATCGAGCATCTGCAAGGCTTGAGCCAAGCTGTGCCACGACACACTATCCGAGAGATAGTTGGTCAGCAGCCTGTTTCTTAACTAGCATAAATTTAAGACTCCTCACCACACCCGCCAAAGAGTAGAAAGCAGAGAGACTATTTTAAGGGTGAAAAATTCAGGGAAGATTGCCTTGGTTGCTAGTTTGTAAATGATATCAAACTTGATAAATCAAAATAAAGCTCTTTGAACCCAGGAGATGGAACCCATGCCCCTCACTTTTAGGCTTAGGATAACTACTAGCCCTGGCTGACTTGGAAGTTTCTACGAAAGACACTGAAAACTTTGAGGATTGAACCTGCGGCCTTTATTCTTAGGCATGGACAGTGTTGGTCATAAGTGATATATTAGCTCTTATTCCAAACTAATGTTAACTGCTGTGAGAAAGAACAAGGCAAGCCTCTGCACTAGGGGACCCATTATGTAACCAGTATCCCTGCCCTGGTCCTGCCTGTTCTGCCTATCCCCCAGAGATTTCTCTTTATATTTATCCACTGTCCCCTTTTAATTTTTGGTGTAGATCCTTCCGGTCAGAAGAAGGTTATGTTGGGAGATCAACACCAGCTTGTGCGCTTCTCCATAAAGCCTCGACATGTAGAACGAATTACACATGGGCGGAGGCTGATGAGCAGGCTTCGAGTGCGCTGCAGTCAGAGGCCACCTCTTTCCTTGTGGGCTGGATGGGTCCTTGAGTGTATCCTTTCGTGCCCCTCATTTTTATCCCATGCCTTTACTGTCTCTCTTGCCTCATCATCTGCCTGAAGACTTATTTTCCCATTTCCAAACTCCATTTTCTTCTGATCCTCACTGGTTCTATTCTTGCCTTTATTATTTCACCTGTATTAGAAAGAATTCCACTCCGTATGTTTCCTTAAGAGAAAACAGGTCCTCTCTTCACAAACTTCATCATCTTTCTCATCTTTTTGAATACAATTGTACTGATGGTTGAAATAGGTGAGAACTGACATTGAATGGAAGAGGAAGTGGCTATGGGTCATTTTTCCTGTAAATTGATCATTTTTTTATTTTTGACTGTTACTTGAATTGTGATAGGGACAATTATATTAAGTCCCCCATAGTAAGATTTGTGCAACTGCTAAGACATGGAAATATATGGAGGGCTCTCAAGAGAGTGGTAGATATAAAGTAGTCTAGACACTTATAGTGTAATAGACTCATGGGAAACCAAAGATGTAAAGACCAGTTATATTTCTTGTGTCAGTTTAGTTTAATAGTTGTTTAAATTAGCCTTTTGTATTAGAGATATTGGTGCCTATTGGTGAGTGATGCAACACTTACATTTTTTACAAGTATGTTAAATATTGAGTACAAATAAGAAAGCTCACAAAGTATATAAAGCTAGATACAACTAAAATATTAGATGAGCCAAAAAATGACTTAAAGAGTAAATGATTCTAAAATCAGTCCTAAATTATATGAAATGTATTAAAAGCAAAAAAATCTGGAAAATCAATGAGCTCATTTGATTATCATCTCAAACAAACTGCTCTGAAATGATGAAAAGGACTTCCTTGTTTCATCCTCATTGTTTCGGGGAATTTTCCTACTTTATAATAGTCTTTTAATGCAATCAGGTCAAAGATATTTAAATATACAACAATTCTTGATATCACTAACCCACTACAGTATACTATATACTTTGAGGTATTTTTTTTTTAGAGAGAGAGAGAGTGTGCACACATGTATAGACGGGAGAGGCAGAGGGAGAGGAAGAGAGAGAAAATCTTAAGTAGGCTCACACCCAGCGTGGAGCCCAACTTGCAGCTCAGTGCAGGGCTTGATCTCACAACCCTGAGATCATGACCTGATCGAGAGTCAGATGCTTAACCAGCTGAGGTACCCAGGTACCCCTATGCCTTGAAGTATTTTATTTTCTCCCCATTGTGGTGAGGATTTTGAGCTAAGTCACCCACATTTCCTATTTCTTGTATGATAACTGGCATGTATTTGCCTTGTGGTGTTAAGGGTATAGTCTTAAGCCTTGGAATAAAGTAAACAGCAATAAATATACAGGATTTCCTGGATCTAATGGACAAATCAAAATAGAATAGCACTAACCATTCTAGTTGGTAAAACAGTTGAATATGAAACATGATCACTGTGCCACAGAATAGGTGGATTGCTTGAATGGAAATTATCTGGCAAGTTCAGCAAAATTGTATCTTATTAAGTACACTCTCATGGTAGAAAGGCAGGAGGGATTTTGCAAAGGCAAAGAATTTGTGACTAACAGATTTCTTTGAACAGACTAACTCATGTGATAAATATTAAGACTGTTTAGGCTTTTAAAAAAACAATTTTCCAGATCATAGAGAATGTTGTTACAGATAGGGAAAAAAATAGTAATTAACAAACAGTTCTCTAGATCAAAGCTCCCTAATTTTTTTTTTTTTCTTTTAAAGAGTGTACACATACCCGGTGGCGGGGCGGTGGGGGTGGGGGGGTTGCCAGCCGGCAGAGGGAGAGAGGAGAGAGAATCTTAAGCAGGCTCCAAGCCCAGCCCAGGGCCTGACACGGGGCTCCTTCTCATGACCCTGAGATCATAACCTGAGCCAAAATCAAGAGTCAGACGTTTAACCAACTGAGCCACCCAGGCGCCCCATCCCCGATCTTTTTGGTCTTGTGATTTTGTTTCCCAGTAATACAGCTATAAACTTGAAAACCTCCTTAGGAGTTTAATCATTCCATTAGTTTTATATGGTATAAAGAAGCAAGTTGAAGTAGAAGTAATATTTTAGACTAGCATATTATTAAATATTTTATTTTAATGTGTATAATATAATTTTTAGCACATTTTTACTTTTGCCATTTTGTAAGTGATTCATGCTGTTTTTAAAGTAAATATATGATTTGCTCATAAATGAATTTTTAAAGGCCGTTAATATATTGTTTGGCTCAGGGATCAAATATATTTATTTTATGTATTATATGTTTTTTAATTTAAGTTTTTGTTCTTTTTTAAAAATTGAGATATAATTGACATATAACATTAATTTCAGGTTTACAACATTATGTAGTATATGTTAAGTACATATTATATATTAAGGTGTAGGTGGAAATTTACGTGTTAGGGTATAAAAAAGAAAAAAATCTACTTTCACAATGATATCGGTAATTCTACTTTTCATTTTAAACATCAATTTGGCTTATTTTTATAATTTTCACATTTTGTTTCCAAATGATGAGAGGGAGAAAAGAAAGATTTGACTCATTTGCAATCCATTTTCTGAAAATAACACATTGCAAGTGTGAATAGTCCTTATTTCCAACAACAAAAAAAATCATGTATAACGTCATTATAATTTTTTACATTGATTTTGAGGTTCTAGAGATATCTTGATGTGCTATATATGAATAATTCTGCAAGTTTATCTCAAGATGAACTTCATCAGATTCTATAAATTGCATTCATCTGATCAAAAACTTTATATAGCATTGGTGTTCCTTACTTCATTGTGGATATAATGAGCCAAATCTTTTTTTTCTCTCTCATCATTTGTTTAAAAAAATATATGATTTGTGCACAAATGAATTTTTAAATGACATTATATGTGTTTGGTGTGGGGATCAAATATATTTTATGTATTATATGTTTTTATTTTTTGTAGTATATATTTTTAAATTTAATATTATGGATATAACCAGCCAAAAAACAGTTACAATTTCAAACTGTTTAAGTGTCAAAATTGACAGCAGTTTGTGTTGTTCAGAGTGATTGAATATGTTCTTCTAATCTCCATTAACTGCCAAGGATGTCAGTCATAGTGCATTTGGAGGCTCTCAGATTGTTCTGTTTCAAAGGGAAACTATTAAATTATTATTTAGCTTTTAAGCCTATTTTGATTTCAGTTTTTTTTTTCCTACAGCGTGGTATACATCCATTAAATGCATAAAAGAAATGAAGAGGGTTGAAAGATGAAGGCAATAAGTTGAGGAATAGCAATTAGCAGATAATAGGATTTTAGGGAGAATGTATAGGATTTAATTTGCTTTGCAGGACAAAATCAGTTTTAGAGAAGAATGGGAAATTTTTTAAAACTAACAAATAAAGAACCAAATAATTTTTTTAAAAAGATTTTATTTAATTATTTGCCAGAGAGAGAGAAAGAGAGCACAAGCAGGGAGAGTGGCAGGCAGGAGAGGGAGACACAGGCTCCCCACTGAGCAGGGAGCCCGATGTGGGACTCCATCCCAGGACCCTGAGATCATGACCTGAGCCTAAGGCAGATGCTTAACTCACTGAGCCATGCAGGCATCCCAAGAACCAAATAATTTCTTATTATAACTCAGTATGTTTCATGAATCTGGCTTCTTGTTCCTACTTCCCTTATCAAGCACTTTACATATCACGGCCCTACATTTTCATTCTATTCTTAAGGCCCATTGCTGCTGCTGCTGCTTCTTTTTTTTTTTGTAGCAGACAGCATTGGTGGTAGTAAAGAGAGCAATCCCTTGGTGACTGTGTGACCCCAGAGTGGGAAGGCAGTGACTTGCAGCTGTTAGACACATTGATACCAGCAGGAGATGAGTTGTAGCTATTTTTCATGGTCAATTCTTTCTTTTTTTTTTAATTTTTATTTATTTGACAGAGAGAGATGAAGAGAGCACAAGCAGGGGGAG